TAATTTTGCAGATCCCTGAATAAATAAATAATGAAGTCTTATAAGCCCCACGGAAACTAATTTGAAACATTTTAAACTGAATTTTCAATTTTCTGTCTCACTAGAAAGTTTTAAGTTTTACTTTTTTAATTAAAGTAACTGAATTCTTTCCAAATTTGACAGGAAAACACTATTATGTTACACCTAATGACAGATACTGGCTATTTTAGCTTTTAAAGACTAAAAGGCATAATGAATTTTCCAATTATAAGAATAATTATACTCCTACAATCACTCCCACAGAACTACTACAGTTGTAAAAATCTTAAACTTTGCATCCAATCTCTACTGTGGTTAATAATATACTTTATTAGGGAACATCCAATAGTCCATTATGCTGAAGTCTTGATTAATTAAATCCAACTTTGGAGGCTAAGGAGATAGGATCTTAGCAAATTATTGTTAGAAGTAGATTTTTCCAAAAATAGAAAATTTTAATAAGCCTTTGAGGTAATTCATGCTATATCACTGGTAAGCAGAACCAAAAATAAAAAAGGGACTTTAAAGGATTTTTCCCCAAAAAAATTACCAGCAGGTGTCACTGTGAATTTCAAAATCATAAACAAGAAAGTCCAACTTACTGCTTATCTAGTAAGCATCAGATAACACTTTTAAGGAAGGATATTTGAACCCTTAAAAATAGTTCTTAATAAAATTGCCTTGGGAATATATTTTTATGTCTGCCCTTTTTAAAACAAGGCAACCTCTGGAAACCAATTAGAATATTAATGTACCACCTCAAACAGTCTTAGGGGGTAGTGGGTGACTTCTAATTTCCTGGAAGAGCTAAATAATTAAATCAGTATGTTCTTTTGAAAAGGAAACTGAAGTTTATTTCAGGTTCCTATGCTTTACTTGTTTCGTAAAAATTCTCAGCACCCAAGTACATGGTGAGAATGCCAGAGTTATTTAAACTGCTCGAATGTACCCTCTTCTAATCATACTGTGAGAGGGCCAGCTCACTAGGGTTGGTAGGAAAGTTACCCACACAGGGAAAGCCTGTGTTCGTGGTAACTAACTGCCAAACAATTGAGTTTCGCTTTTAAGTATTAAGTAGATATTAAAGAAAAAAAAATCTAACAAACCAAGGGAAATAAAAAGTCACCAAACTGTTCCTCCTAACTTTAGACATTTCCGTACTCAAAACAAAACATCATTGATTAGTGATATTTTCACTTTCCACCTATTGTCACTGAAAACGCTCCTAATCAAAACTACACTTTCCATATTGCATTTAGATTATCAAAAACAGTTGCAGCGTATAGAATGTGGGTTTTTTTCTCTAAAAAATGTATAATCAGTGGCATATTACATTTTGAATTCTGTCATTGTTCAACTTTTCCATGAAGATGTATAGTAGTTTCAGTGAAAGTGACTAATAAAATTGCAGTTGGTGGATAATTTCTAAGGGCTTGGGTAGGGCTTGCTTTATGTTTGTGATTCATGAAGTAAGCAACAAAATAGAATAAACAAACAACTGCTCTTTTATACCATATTTGAATTGGAAGTATTTTCAACAAGGGTATGAAGCTGTATTTTTTGAGGGTGCTTTTAGAAATCTGTGCCTTTAGACATCGTGGTAGGAGGAGAAACACAACTTTTCCAAAATGACAAAGAAAGACTTAAAACATTTGGTTTCCTGCTTTTCTAAGTGTACAAAACCTTTTCTAAGTGTACAAAACCACTAGATAATTTGAATTCTGAAAAGAGGGATTTATGGTTAGTTTGATTTTTACGAAACTTCCAAAAAGATAAGCACAAGTTGAACATCATTCTGTTAACTCAGGTATTAAAAATGAAACCAAGTAGCTTCACAAATAAATTTTATTATAATTATTTTTTAGAAAATAGAACTAGAGACTACTTTCTGGGCTTTAGTTACTTTTAAAATAAAAAGCTCACTTTAAAAAAATAGTTTGAGACAAAAATGAAATTTCACATATACCTTTTTTTTTTTTTAAGAATACTACGTATAGCTTGGTTTTAAACAAAACCACTACTGGTATTCATAGAAAGAACAGAGAAAGCATGAACACTGTTACCCTTAAGGGCAAAATAAGCTGAAGAATGGAAATGTTTTTCAACTTCATGATGGATTATGTTTTTAATAGTTTTGCCACAACAAAGCATTTTATTGAAATAGCTGCTTTGTGCCAGATCAGAGCACATACACCATTATTTTAATGAGCTTTAACAAGAACCCACATTCCCAGATGAGAGAATCACATTTTTTAAGCTTTTTGGTGGGGGGTGGTCAAGGATGAGGGTAGCTTACTTGCTTTTCAAAAGCGGTTGGCACCAGTCGTCTCAACTCAGATAAACTGTTATTTATCCGATCTCGACGCCTTTTCTCTATTATCTATCCCAAAGAAAGCAATATAATAACAAAAGTTTATAATTACACAAATGATAAAAATTACTCATAATGGAAAAGTACAAACTGTTACACTTCAGGCTGGATTACATGAAATAAAAAGAAAAAAAATCACATACCCCTCTCCTTTTCTTTCTTGCCATAATCTGAGATGCTGTTGCTGGAGAATTCGATCTAATTACAGAGCTAGTACTTTGCCTATGAAATAGGAAGAGTAAGTCAGGTGCTGTATTAGCATAACAATGGTTTCTTCTGGGTATTTGATGGCATCTATTAAATATTCAGAGTGATTTTATAGTTCAGGCCGGTATTTTATTCCTAATTATGCTTGTCTCTTAATATACTTTGCTTTCAGTTCTTATATCTCTTTTCAGGTAAGAATGATGCTTTTTTGTTTTCTTTTAATTTTAATGAGTAATTCGGATGCCAAAACATTGGCAAAAACATCCTTCAACTTTGAGTCTACCAGTGAAAAAGTTAGGGGCCATCTGGGTAAGAAGTTAGACACTAACTAGTATTTCCTAATTCCACTTGTAAATGTTGCTTCAAAGTCACCTAACACGGAATAGCATCCCTCCTCCTCTCTCCATCAGATACACTGAACAAAGCAAAGCAATTGTAAAATAAGGGCCAAGTTTGGCACCACTATCAGACAGATTATATAGTCATCACAGGTTAAACCTGTCCCTAGACGCAATCTTTAAACAGACGTTAACTTGCTGTTTCAAAACTTCACTTAGTCGTATTTCAGAACATGAAAAAAATAACAGATTTAATGTTTTGTATACTCATCTTTTTTAAAAAAAGGCCCAAATTAAATATGCCAATGATAGGAAAATTTAAATTAGATGAACTACTAGGGAAATGTTTTACTCAGTAGATGAAACTGGAGGCACCTTTCAGCTTCCCAATGAAGCTTCAACCTCTAAGAGCTATGATCCACTCTGAGTTTACTAATGGGTTTACTACATTGAAAGTTCCAGCAAACCATTATTTTGTCACTTATTATTTTTATGACTCTTTCTAGTTTGCATACGTTTCTCTTCACAATTCTGGTAGACTATGTATGCTTCTGTCTGTTCTCTCAAATTCTCCAGGTTCCTGTTAGTTGTTCTCTTCCATTTCAGAAAAGTTGTACACACCCAGGATCTTGTTACCTCACCTTCTCACTCTGAATCTTATTTCTGAATTAGCTGTCCCTCTCATCCCTATTCCTTCTCAAGTGGTTTCGCCTTTCACTTGACAGCTTCTGTTTTACAGATCTCATTTTTTAACATGACACGACAACACTTTAATTTAGAAGACACTCTGCAAGCAAAGGTTCTGTAAGTATTTTTCTCTTGCTGACTTCACGCTTTGGTTTGTACTATCAGGATTAAGAATATTGAAGGAAAACCAATTTTCCAGACGTAGTAAAAATTTTCCTCTTTGAGTGGCAGGTGCAGATAAATAATTAAGGGACTGCTGGGGATGCCAATTAGAAGCAATTATCATTTGACCCGCCTTGGGACTAAAATGCCTCGGTAATCTCCCTCTGTCACTCAGAAGTGGAGGTCTGGCTTCTGTAATCACGACACCGATCTTTTCCAGACTTAAGAACAAGTAGCCAAAAAAGACTGATCTATGCCCCCAAAAGGTCCTTGTATCTGTCATTTACTCTCCCGTCATCCAGCTCACAAACGGTAAACCTGGAAAGCTACTTGCCTTGACATCGATCACTGTTTTAATTTCTCCCAAAAGCAAGCCATATTTTTATAGTCTCCTTAAAAATAAAAAACCAGCTGTTTTTTTCTTCGCCTGGCGCATTCTGAAAGTGCTCCGCGATGCAGTTTCGGTGGCAGGGACGTCGCCGGTCGCCGGGACGTGCCCGTCCGTGCGCCCAACGCTGACAGCCAGGGACCCTCCCTCGCCAACTCCTGACTCTTTCAGCTGCGTACCTCGTCCTCTCCGCCCCACCCCTAGAGTGAAAATCGACAACCGTCGCCCTACCCCAACGCACGCTCCGTGAGCCCACCACTCAAAGTGTCTCAGGCAAAAGTTTCCCCGGTCGGTTAGGAAGCCGCCGAGAGGACTCTCGGAATTTCCAAGGAGACTAGTGCACAAAGCTTCCCGACGTCTCGGTTCCAGGCAGTTCCCGCCAAGCCCGTGCTCACCCGGAGTAATTGTTCTCGCTCCCCACGTCTATGGTCTCGTCCATGTCGCTCTCGGAGGTCGTCTCCTCGCAAGGGCGCTTCATCACGGCCAAGGCGGCGCGGGGCGCAACCCGGCCGTAGCCACGGACGCCGAGCGGGACACAGCGCCCTCCCAGGCTGCCTTCCTCCCTCCAACTCTTGCTCCCCCGGCCTGGGCAGGCGCGGCTCCGGCGGCGGCACGCTCTGCTCCTCGCGGCTCTTTCCCACGCCGCAGTCCCGCTCTGCGGCAAGAACAGGCGCCGGCCACACCCCCGGCGCGGGCGGGGCCACCTCGCCCGCCTCCTGCGCTCGCGCCCCCGCCGCCCCTCCGCGCACCGCCTCCTCGGGGTCGGCGTAGCCCGCGATTGGCTGGGCGGAGGGGCGGGGCCGCGCTCTCCAATGTCCGCTGCGAGGCTGCCCCCGAGGCGTGGGAACGCTGCGCGCACCTGGGGCCCAGGAGCGGCGCTCCAGATGGAAGAAGCCGTTGCGAGAGTGAGCGCGAGGTTGCTAACTCCGGCAGGGAGTGGGCGCGGGCGCGGGCACGGGCGCACAGGGGAGGGCGCGCTGAGGAGGGCGTGCAGGGGCGTGCTCTGGACCTCGAGTTTCCTCACCCCCTGCTGTCTCCGGTAAAGTTTCTGTCTTGAGTTTAAAGAATAACCCCAAACGCGTGGCTGAGTGTGAGCGAAGTGTGTGACGTCGGCAGGCGCCGTGGCTTAACCTAACCGCCCCACTCAGCTGTCCCTTGTCTGGATCAAAACTGCTGACTGGTTGACCCTGACGGTCACGTTAGTCCTCTGAAAACCTTAAAGTTGCGCTTCTCTCTGGTATCTCCTGAGACTACTCTGTGGACAGAAAAGGACATGAGTTTCCCCGACCAGGTACTTAACTGTTGGCGGTCGGAGGATCTGAGGTCGATCACCATACTATGTTCGATTTGCTATGATCAGTTATTTCCATTTGGCTACAGGGACTATGGATAGTAGTTCCCGCTGACTAGAGGGTGGGCTGGAGTTTTGTACTTTGGCGTCAGGAAAAACTATAGCAATGGTCTAGGTATTTGGGACACAGTTTTCCTAGTCCCGCAAATTTGAGTGTTTCGGGCTTGGATTATCCAGATCATAGCAGCTCTCCACTTCCCCTCCTGTGTGCAGTCGCAGCGGTAGAGTGAATTAGAATCTCGGACGTGAAAAATCGCGCTGGGAAATTGAATTTGTTTTCTAAAGTACGACTTCATGTCCAGTCTTTAGTACATTGCACAACGTAGGTTGTAAAAATTCTAAAACATGTTTTCAAGCTACTCTTTCTCTCCAAGCCCTGCGATATTTTTGAACAAGCTATTCTGGGGTGCCTCTGAGAGGGCAGGAACTAAACAGACCGAGTAGGGGAGACGCTTTCTGCTACCAGCCCCGGCGATGTGGTAGAGAGAGGCGGGCAGATTGGTTGAGGTCGAGCCCGAGACTTGTTGCGCCGGAATAGCTCCGTGCGTGGTGGAGAAAAGCCTCTGAGAAAGGGGCGTCTGTGAATCACTACAGCCCTCCGCTACTGGCTGATTAATATTTTGGGGGGATCTGCTTAGGGCCTCCAGTCTCTTGCTAGACAAGAACCGCGCGGGGCGGGGAGAAGAGCAAAGGATGCGACGTGAAGAATCCAGCTCGAGCAGGGATTGGCAGGGTTAGAGCGGGAAGGACTTGCTGCCCGCGTGTTAAGCCCTCATTAAAACACAAAACCCCTTCCCCACAAGCCCACATCTCTTTTGTGCGGTCCCCACCGCGGTGCCTGCAAGAACCGTGTGAACAGAAACCCGAAACGCTCCATCCTAACTTCTGAAACTAAACTCCGGGCAAAGCACACAGACGGCGAGGCCGGGCGGGGCCTGGAAGGGCTGGACAGGGTCAGCTCAGGATGTCGGGCCCGTAGGGGGCGGTGACTCCCCAGTTGGCTTCGGCCTCAGCGCGTGTCTCCGAGCCTCTGCGCGACCGCTGCTCCGCCGCGCTGAGCGCCCTGGGCAGAGCTGAGCCAGCGGCATCCCAGGCTTCCGATCTTGTCCGACGCCACCCGGCGCCGGGTCCCTGCAGCACTAGGAGTGACGAGCCGAAGCGCGGGTTGCGCAGCCCACCTCCAAGGCTGACTTGCCTGGGGCCACTCCACACAGGCCACAGGTGTACGCGCCTCAGCCGGCCTGGCGCATATTCAAACCTAACAACTTTATGCTAGGGCTGCACGTAGTTTGAAAGCGGATGCCTACAGGTGCAATTAACTTTTGACACGAGAGCGAATTAAAGCAAAAGCCGGAGGCAAAACCTGAGATCGTGATTGAAAGAAAGAAAAACTCCTTCTCATTTTACTAGTGTGTTTGATTACAATAACAGCGAAAAACTGCGAAGAGGGAAATGGTTTGCTTGCAATAAAGTAGCCATTGGTTATAGTTTCCATATTTGTCTTTGAATACTTAACCATTGTACCATTTTATAAAGAAAAATATAGCAGGGACGTTCCAAAAGCACACGCGGGTTTAATATCGCTTAAAAATATTTTTAAGCCAAGGGGGTCGTATTTGAAAAGCGTTTTAGAACCGTGCCGGTATATGGTAAACTCTGTATGTCTGTTAAATAAACAAGAATGCAGAGGGCAGAAGTCCTCGGCGTTTTGAACACTATCAGAATAATACAGTGACCTACTTATCTGCCAAACTTAATCGCAACTAGGCAGCATGAGATTTTTCGATTGTGTCTTTTATTCCCCTCAAATATCGATTTGCCTATACGCTGGTTAGGCGCCTTGTCTGGTCTGTCTGCCACTGAAAATGTCTCTCGGGTCGGAGGGAAAAGCAGAGGGAGTAAGCTCTTTAAAACGCGCAGCATACAAAAAAACGACTGTGGATTGTCGGGGAGTGGGGGAGGTGGAGGGCTGGTGGAGGAGGAGAGAAAGAAAAGAATGAGAGAACCGCGGGATTTCAAGCCTCATCGCACCTCAGCTCAATCCTTTTCATCGAAAGTTGGGTTTACCAAGAGCCCGGGCAGAAGAAAAAATGTCTGCTCAGAGCAAACCGCAGTTCCTCCTTTTCAAAGATTTGTACAATGAGACAATTGGACCAAAAGGTACGAAACAAAATGCCGTTAGGAAACGAAATGCCATTAGGGAAGAAAGCCCAGGACAACGAATCTAAAGGGAACGGAGGGGAGAATCGGCTGCTTTCCCGAAGTTGAAATTGGTCATCTCGCAAGTGATTTAATTCTGTGCTTAAGGCGTGAAAGTGAGATTCCAATGCCTAGATCTGGAAACGTCAGACTCAGGTCCTGATACCCCTCCTCAAATCTTCCCCGACCGATTTAATGTAAAGTTACACTTTTTGCACCTGTATTTATAAATTTGGCTATCTTGACTATTCTTGTCCCATAATCTTTGAGTTTTGTTGCATAAGTTAATCAAGTGATTACTTTGCTGTAATTCTAAATTTCTCCTTGCAGCATTTTGGGATCTAACCTGGGGTCTTTTTCATTCTTGTCGGTCTGCTTTTCCCTTCATTAGAACACTCTGATTTTTTCAAGATCAATTGTTACAGTTTGTTGTTTGTGGTTTCTCTTGAATACTTTGAGATGCTGCTTACAATTACTTAAAAAGTGTCACCCTAGTGTTTGGCTTCTCTTAGAAAGTCACCAAGGCATGACACTCTAAAGACATTTTAACTTAGCTTCTCTGTGAAATACAGGCAGCCGTACTATTTAAAGACCTTTATGGCATTCTGAGAAGCCTAACTGCACATAGCTCAAATTGAAAAGTCCCATATTTTGCCCTATCTGAAATAATATAATTATTTACCCAGTTTTCTCTTGCAAAAGGAAGACAAGCAGGTTGCCCTGAGAAGAGCTAGTTTATTGACAATTACTGGGGCAGGTGACAAGCACGTGCATCTGTGGGCAGCCTCTTGGGCTGTCTTTTCCCTGACTGCAAGGCTCTTGTGAGCTGGCAACGCTTTAAAGTGTGTGAGAATGCTGCACCCTGAGAGTGGAGGCCAAGGGCAAGATCCTTGTAAATTTCACTACCTTTCCAACATGAGGCAGCAGCAGGCAGGCCAACCCAGGGTCCCTATACAACATATTTGCAAGCTAGTAAAGCAAAACAAAGCTGAAAGCGAGGACCCATTTAGGCCCACTAACTCTAAAGTCATCTATAAAGGGGACTACTTTACCAGTTAACAAGTATTTTTGCTTGATCAGCCACACAAAGTGCATCATATCTCTTGCCTGTACCCAATAGATGTACTTATTTGATCAGAAACTCTGAAGTAGGAAATCTAAGCCCAAAACTCCATTTCTTAGAAGTTAGAATGTTTAAATTCATCTGTTATTAAGGGGTGATTTATTTAAAAGCTTTTATTTCATGAGTGGTGTTCTTAGTGCTTAGTACATGCCCAAGGATGAAGTCTGCTTTTACTGCTGGACCCTTGAGAAGAGGTTATGTAATTAAGTAATCAGTTTTCCATATTCCTGTAAGCAACAGTCAAAAGATAACTACACTCACTATATTAACTTCTCTGAGGGTAAATTGATGTAGGCAGTCTTTTCTTTTAAGGAAATTCTTTTAAACTTTTGTTTTCTTGAAGTTGGTTTGAATGATAGATTCCCTCCCACCCCCTTTAAGGATATTAACTTCTTTCATGAAAATAATTTTGTAGCTACATCCTTATCCTGTAGAATAGTGCCTGGCATGTACTGGGTATACAGTATTGGAATTAATTTCTTAACTGAAATCAGTGAACTCCTTGCTTTTTACTATGCATATAGAATTTCGATGACATTGGCATAATAAAATAGAAATAAGCAAATATGAGCTAAAAAAATCATGAAAAAATGAAAATATGCTTAAATATGAACAGGAAAGTCTTGACTGTGAATGAGCCCTTAGTTTAGCCCTAAGCTTCCTGGCAGCCAAGTCAGAAAGAGAAACAGTGATTTTTCTGATTCTTATAATCAGAAAAGAGGAAGCACATTGTTTTTGAAAAAAGAAAAACTTTATCCCGTTGTTGCACTCTAAAAACACTACACGATTGCCTTGTTCAAAGACATTTACATTTTTATTTTATTTAAAGCAATAATTTTGTCTAAAATTCTCCCCTAAGCATATTAATGATAACATGACAGTAACATACATAAATGAAGACAATAGTTTATCTTCGGATAGCTGAATAAGTGGTCTAGTAAGCTATCAAGATTAACTAATTGACATTAATAGGACCAGTGCCTCGAAGAGTTACAAAAATGTGGATTCTCCATAGGAAAGTTTCTGCTTTCGGTTTTAGAGAAAAGATGTAAAAGATTCCTGAATCTGGTTGGCTGGCATTACTTGATGAAAGTGAAAGAAAGAGAGATGCTCCACAGGTTTCTATAGAAATGTCAAGTGCTGTGGAAATTTTTAAGACTAAAAGTAATTCCCACTGGAATGCAAATAACATCTGTATTTTCTTAACACTTTTCTAGTACATTATTGTTAGATATGTGCTCATTTATACCCTTATCTGCTTTTTAAATTGATAGATGCCTTTTTTGAGGGGGAAACCCTCACAGATTGGAAATAAGTTGCTAATTTTAGATTTTCAGTGGAAAAAAAATACAGGCTATTTTTGGAC